TTTTGGTATACCTTTTCTAGGTACGTTAGCCTGTGACCACGGAAATTGGCCGAGTCAAGTGATGGATTAGTACGGAGAGATTGAGACAGAAGGAGGTACTGGATAGAGAGACCGGGATGGTTTTTAATGTGAAGACAACAACAACAACAACAATAGTACATCCATGTGTCTGTTCTGAACGCCACAACTTATTTATTATTATTGAGTTGTATATGGACTAAATAGGAGCAGTTTGTACCAGCAGAATACCGTCCGCATATGCACGTACTTGGTACACATAATCTAGAACGTGAACCCACAGCGGCAGTAAACCTACGTACCCCCGCCTTCCTCGCTTCAACGATTCATCCATGGATCGATCAACAAGTAGCGCCGGTGTCCAAAAAAATATGACTCTTTGAGTTGCGGTGGGTGCGTCCCAGTAGTGTTTACACATTGATATCCATAGATCATCAGGACTGACGCGTTCTGCTTGGTCGGGCGTTGTTCGGCGTTGGTTCTGGCGGCCGATTCCTCTCTAGCGCCCATTCCCTGTTCCCGCATTCCGAGCACGCGGCGCGTGTGCTCGCCCAGTTCGCGGCCGCTAGGCCGTGCTTTGGCCCAAGTAGTGTTCCTTCCATGTTCATGTCGGAACAATTATTTACTTCGATGTTTTCCCATCTTTGTCATGACACTTTTGCTCTAACGCCCCAACAATTGATTTCAATGTTCCAATTCCTACACTACCCCTTCCCTCGACACGCAACCGGATGTTAGCGGCGGCGATCGCCGTACGTAGTGTCTCGTTGAGCCTTTTACCACGGAGGAGATATCATCATCACTAACTGCCTGCTGCGGCACCTTGCGGAAGGATCTGGTATCATTAATTGGAAACCGAGGTAGGCTGCCCCCTCTAGACCACGTGCGCTCAATCATCTTTCCTACGCTGAACGGAGTTGACTCTCTCCTCTCTGGCGATTCAAATGATTGTTGTCGTCGCCTAAACTCGCCTCCCTTCCGTGTGAGTTTGCCCCCCTCCGACTCTGCCAGCACCTGCCGCCAGGCGTAGACTAATGGGGGTCTGTCGGCTGCCGTGGGCATCCGCTAATGCTAGCATGAATCCGTAGTGTATCCCCAACTCTTGTCTGTGGATAGAGGCGATAGATTCGTTGCTTGTACCCATCCATAGATGATCGAAGTATGCTGTGACAGCAGCTGGGCAGCCGCAGCAGTCAGGGCAGACAAAGTGGTATGCATAGCAGAGCCGGCGAGACTGGTTGCTATCATCATGTGCTGCTGCTTTGGTGCAATCGTACTATTGATGTACTGCCTGTGTTTCCACGGTTCCCCGAACAGCATGCATCGATATCTTCCCTGCAGGTATCTAAGCAGGTTCAACAAAAACCACCTTGAACACATAGACTCAAGAAGTACAACATACTGTACAGTAGTCTACATCGGACCTGAATGTACAAGGGCACCCTCGCCCCCAGTGGGCGCCGGGGCCCGAATCGCAAACTGAAGGTGGTTAAGTTGAACAGCAGTTCGATGCGTTAATCAGTGTGGTTCAATAAAGAGGTATTTTTATGAGCAGGGACCAAGTATTTATATGAGCAGGGACCAAGTAGTCTACATCCGTTGAAAGGCTTTCAAGGGCGGGCAGGGGAGAGTGTCGGTGACGAATATGGCGTAATGCGGTCGCCCCCAGCATCGTCTTGTGTAAACATCTTCAACGTGTTGATTGTACGTTAATATATCGCGCATTTCGCCGATCGACCTAGGTTACTTGCTGAGTTGATTATTACTTGTATTACATATTCAACATGGATTTTTTAATCGACGTTGCACTATCGAATAAATTGCAGGACTTACCACCTTCAGTGAGGAAAAGCCGTAACATCTCAGGGTGGGCGGATGTGATCGTATTTATTGGCTAAACGTCCATCAACCAATGATTCATTGTGGAACGATGTTGTTTCGTGATGTAACCTGTTTTTTCATATACGGTCGTCCTGAACGCGCCCATTATCTGAGTTTTATTATTGACTCAGAACACAGAACAGTGTACGGTGTGTGATGCAATATCACACGGATGGCTTTTCTCTCTTTCAAAGCTTGGCCAACCGTCTACGATTATATTTTCTTATTGACTACAGAACAAAGAACAGTGTACGGTGTGTGATGCAATATCATATGAATGATTTTCCTCTCTTTCAAAGCTTGGCCTACCGCCCGTGAATATCACACGAAAGGCTTTCTGTCTTCCAAAACTTGGCCTACCGTCTATAACATAAGCGGAATCAATTTCTGTTGAAACCGCGAACGCGTGAACATGACACGAAACGCGTTCCTCTCTTTCAAATCTTGGCCTACTGCATATCATATAAGAAACGCCATATCCATCCTCTTATAATAGCGAGTGCAATATCACACGAAAAGGCCTTCCTATTTGTACCCAATTCTCTACTAATGGCGACGTGTATGAACATGACGTAAAAAAAGGTCACACAAACGGAAAGAAGTAAAAGCCGAAGATATGCGAACCGTAAAATAGCCTCTAAAACATGTAGACGTCGATACGCGGACGTGTCTATTCGTCGTCTTTCGAAGATTGGTCGCTGTCATCGTTGCTTTCTTCACCGGCGTTGTCGTCGTCGTCCTCTTCGTTGTCGTTGCGAGGACGACGACGACAACGCCGGTGAAGAAAGCAACGACGACAGCGACCGATCTGTAAAAGACGAATAGCCACGTCCGCATATATATCGACGTCTTCATGTTGTAGAGGTTATTTTACGGTTCGCATATCTTCGGCTTATACCTTTTCCCCTCACTGAGTGGAAAGTCCTGCAATTTATACCGGGGTGGAATGGACACACACGTTGATAAAAGCTCGAATTTGAATATTTATAAATCAACCGTTCAGCAGGTAACGTCGTAGGTCGAACATTTGCATTTTCGACTGTAGTAGCGATGGAATTCAGAAATATAGCACGGTACTTCACCTTCCTTGGACGGAGAGCAGGTGGTCACCGAACATCTTCACCTTCCTTGGACGGAGAGCAGGTGGTCACCGAACATCCGCTTTAGTTCTCCGTCTTCGACATCCATCGAAGTGAAGTTGGAACGGCAATTGAACGCCCTGGATCTTTTTACGGAATTATTATTCTGTTTGCGGAATTGTTGTGCGGATGTATGAGTGGATGCGTAGAGGTCTTGGGAGAATGGGTGGCAGGGGTGGAAGTCGTGGAAGAACGTATTTCCCATTTTTGCACCATATCCCTTTAGACTCCGACGCGAATAGCATGGCTTCACAATGTACGCAAGGGTCAGCGCGTTCCACCGTTTTTCCCATTTCGTGGCGCGCATGAAGGAGTGCTTCACGTCACTGGGTGATGACAGTGTTCAGATCCGATATATTCCCTTGAGTAGATTGAAAGTCTACGCAGCAAAATCGATTAAGCAAACATATGGGATAAAGTATTCAATCCGTGCTTTGGGGTTAGGGTTAGGGATAGGGTCTGCGTGCCCCCTCCCTATTCTTGTTCTAGATACTCTTAAAATCCCGCGTAGGCGGTCCTTATGGATCGTCGATTCAGTTCCGGGACGACGTTGAGAACTCAAAATGTTGTCCAGACGATCCCTCTTCGCCGCAATAATGTCAGATCTGCATTGTTTCTGATGGGTTTGACGACGTTTCCTGTCGGAGGATGGTTTGGGCTGGGTGGCGCTCAGTCGTGTCTCCGTGTTCGTCGCAGCATTATTGTTGGCTTGTCGTGCGCTTCGCCTCCTCGCGTTGAAGGCCAATTTGTTCCGAGCACGATATGCACGATTTTCCTCGTTCTTGCGCAATCGCTGTCGTTCATTGTTTTTCCTTTTTCGTTGCATGTCCATCCGAACAGTAGTAGGATCACGAGACACACCTCGAATATGTCGAAGTGGAGTGCAGGTGTCATTGACAATGGTGGTGGCTAGATGTATTCGTAACTCTAGTTTGCATATGTTGTAGCAGTTGATAAATGGACTACAATAATCGGGCCGACTTGGAACGTTACTTATTGGCGAAGGCGGTCTGCATGTCATGCTTGATGGTTGATTCAAAAACGACACGCTTGTGATGCTGTTGCGGGTGACCCGCACGTACTTTTTGAAAGTCTGCTACACATATTCAATAGGCTGCAGGACGCTGTAGCGTGAACTGTGTGCGTGATACAGCAAGTTTAGAAGCTGAGTTGGTCGTTGTCGTACAGCAACCTACAGCAGTCCCTTGGTGCCTGTTGTTGGGACAGCAGCAGCAGGCCACATACATACATCCTTCGTTGCTGTGCACGGCGGACAGTGACCATCACTTGCAACGACAAACAAATAATGAGTCGAAATGCTCATCTGCTTCACAGCATCGAAATTTCATTACTGTAACGTGGACTGTGTGCGTGACACGGCAAGTTTGAAGCTGTGTTGTTTTCGTTGTCGTAAATTACAGCAGCAGTGTCCTTGGGTGCAAGTTCCTCGGGACAGTAGCAGCAACAGCAGGGCACATAAATGCTTGGTTGCTGTGCACGTCGGAGGGGCACCATATCACCCGCAAATATGAACAGATGAGGGTTCGCAATGCTCGTCTGCTTCACAGCAGAAGGAAACTAAGGGAGGATGTCCGTATAGTCTAAGCCAGAATATACGGAGTGTCGCCTGTACGCGTTGGGTGTACTTCCAAAGTTCATGGCCGTTGTGGTTGTTGAGCATATCACACGCTAGCGCTCACATTTCCTCCGCGAACTTAGGCCATGACTTGCAATGACATACCGATGGGAGGTCGGAAGACTGCTGTACATCAGTGGGATGCTGCGTTTTTCGTGTGCCAACCGTATTACAGTAGTGTACGCAGAAACTTCGTTTTGTAGTCTACACGGATACAGCAGCTTCAACATTAAAAAAAATCACTGAAGGAAATGTGTAGAAAAAATTCTTCACAATTTTCTATTATAATAGTAGTGCGTCCTACCATGACATTTCTCGAAATAATATTCTTACCTTGATGTGTGATACTGTACATACATGTAGTGATGTGTAGTCTTGATACCAATTTTGTTTTTGGTGTAGGAGAGCTGGTTAAGGTAGCAACAAGCTGCTGGCATGGCCAACGCGGCATTGCCGACAGAGTTCTCTGGATATGTCCTGACTCTCTCGGTCTGGGTGATGGTGTGAAGCTTGGTACACAATCAATTCCCGGGCTAACACGGACGACGTTTAATGTGCTACGAAAAACTCAAGTGATACTGACGCTGGCTCTATTATTTTCATATTTTCTCCAATGTTAAGAAATAATCGAACCTTCCCGCCGGATCCTTCACTGTAGAGTTTCTACTGCCATCAGTAGAGGACACCATGTGAAGAGGCGTCGTGTGTGCTGGCACGTTCAGGGTTGCTACTGGAGCTGAAACATTGAAGGTGGTAGCAGTCTCTGAAAAATGTCTGTCCTGTAATCAGCGCCGGACACCAGCCGGCCCAACATTTGTCACAGCTGCGTTCACCGCCACGGAGCATAAACCCCTAAACGGTTGTCCGCAGTAGCTACATAGTGGCATCAGCTACTGCTGTTAACCCGCTGTTCAGGAGATTAGGGCCAGTGGCGACGAGCACAAACAGTACCAGACAGTGGGTGCCGGTCAAACTCGTGGAGACTTGCGGAGATCGAACATAGGTCACTCTACTTCGTGTGTGCTTTCATTATTAGCATCGACCGCGCTAACCGGCTGACCAATGAAAAGACGTCAGTCTCGGTGCGGTGGGAAACACAAAATGTTTCTTCTATGGTCCACTATCTGGGACCCCGGGACCGAGCGTCGTAGGGGGAGCTACGCTATTCTCAGGATTAACGACAGATACCGTAGTAGTAATAGAAGAAAACTGCACGTGTCTACTAAGACTGTCACCCTGCACTCGACTTCGTTTAGGAGCGCTCTCTCTATCATTCTTCTTGCTTTCAACAATACTACCACCACTATTCTCATCGTCATTTTGGCAGCAACTTTTTGGCAGCNGACAGATACCGTAGTAGTAATAGAAGAAAACTGCACGTGTCTACTAAGACTGTCACCCTGCACTCGACTTCGTTTAGGAGCGCTCTCTCTATCATTCTTCTTGCTTTCAACAATACTACCACCACTATTCTCATCGTCATTTTGGCAGCAACTTTTTGGCAGCTCTTCTTGTCTGTCTCTCCGTCTTTTGTTGTGCGGGAGGTCCTCTGGCTCGAAGCTCTTGCTCTCTTCCACGCCATGATTTCCTTCTCGACTGCTGTCTTGGTCTCTGTCTTGTCCTCCTCTTCTTGTTCCCTCTGCTTCTCCTCCTTCATCGTTGCCACTCGAATTTCCCTCATCGCCATCATGATGATCGTTTTCGTTTGTACTACTATCGAAATCCCAACCTATTGGCCGGGGTGGAAATTGATCCATGAGCAGTCCATGACGTTTAAAAACATCACGAGTTCGTACGGACAGGAAACGAGCCAGCTCGAAAGTAAATCGTCTCCGAATCCTATTCGTATGAAAAGCCTTCAGGCGAATCAAGGCTGTTTCGTCGGCGAAATTCCCTTGGCAAAAGGCTTCGTATGCCAAGTGGTTGGCGATAGCTACGATAAGTCGATTGGTGCCTTTGCCAAGACCACCATACGTCGAAAAAGCAGCAGTAAGGAGGGTAGATCTAGACGGGTTGAAAGTTCCCGCATAGTGTTTTGCCTTACTTGCAGCTCGATCTTCGAGGGCGGATCCTGGCGTTTGGAGTGACTTGTCGATACTTCGCCTAGCAGATGGATTGACGACTGTGACATCTATAAGGATGGATTTGGTGCAGAGTTCCTCTTCTTTATCTCCTGCGTGTAATCCTGGGGGGATCACTAAATCCATCTTGTAGAGCCCTCTTCCCCTACCAGTGCGTGTAGTATATGGGGAAGAGTCTTCAACAGCGATTGGCATGTGGCATTCGCGTAATGTCTTTAACAGCACGCGAACCATCCTATTGTGCAGGAAGGTTGAGGCGCCGGTCTTCGCGCAGACCAGGGAATGGGGTCGGCTCAACCGTTCCATACACGGTGACAATGCACCTGCGCTGCAAAGTCTGCCTGTATCTTCGTGTGTGTGTGTAGTACGACCCTCGAAATCACCACCACAGCAGCAGACTTGAGCGCGCCAACCCTCCCCCCCCTCTGCTCTGGGGTGTCCTCTAGGGATATTAGAAACCCTTTGCTACATTAGAATCAGTTGAAAGACGCCGACCTTTACTTGAGCGCCTGCCGTTTCGGCCCTATCTGGGTTGAATTTGTAATTGTGTGAATTTTGTCTTGATTTCAAAGTAAAGGCGTGTGGAAGTACATAGACGCGTGATATGTATGTTTTATGTTTTGAGCCACCTCTACCGCCGCCCGGTGCGAGAATCAAGGATTTCTGTATGTTTCGATGCCTTCCTAATGGTCTTGTGTGTCGTGCATTTTCTGGTGCATCAATATAGGCAGGACTCCCTTAATTGAATACACCCCGACCTAAATGGATGGAGGAGGATAGAATCATGGGACTTGGTGACAGTTGTTGGCAATTCTCTCAGTTCTTGTGTTGGCCTTATTTTTATGGCATCGCGCGCCGAGGGGGAGCGACTGGTGGTGGTAGGTATGTTAACTCTTTGATTTTTTGGTCACTCAACTCGGGCTGATGGTTCATTTGAGTCTGGCTGTTGCCCCCCCACCTAGTAGTAGTAGGCGATCATTTGTGCTTTTGTGGTAGTCTATCGAGTGCGGTCCATCTCACATGGGTGTTTATGTTTCCAGCCTGTGGTTATTTATGGGTGTTGTGTGCGTACCCTAGCACGTTGCATCAGAAGCTGACGCCCACCGACGCTAGTCGGTGTGATAGCTCGTGGAGCTTGTAGTAGCAGAAGCACAGCAGCAGCACCTCAGTGCAGAAAAGATGGAAGAGGTGTTGTATGCACGGCGCTTAGGTGGCCAACACAGCCAGATAGCCCTGACAGACGGTTGAAGTCCAGGCAGTATGCCAGCAGCATCCAAGGTACGACAAGGACAGCTACAGAACCCAAACAGTCCGATAGATCACAGAGAGAGATCCCAACGAGTGGGGCAGAGCACCGAACGACAGAACGAGCGACACATCACGTACAACTGTAGTTCCTCCGCATACGTTACGTTCCAACCGACACATACGATAACACATGGTACGTCATTGGTCTACATACGCAGTAGTAGCACTGAACGTTAACTAAGAGGGGATATGCGTAGGCATTTTCCAAAACAGCTATCTACCCGTTTTCGGTTCAATTGTAGTTCACCAGCGACCACGGAAGGCGCTCCGCGCCCCAGTTATCCCGGTACGGATGTAACAAGGAAACTGAGCGGAGACCGGGACGTTTTCTTCTAGTTTATCAAGACAACAACCACAACAACAGCAACACCTCTCGCGGGTTTCGGAGCGCACTGGATCCTTGCAACACTCTGTAAAATGATGAAGAGTTTCATTGGCTTCTTCGCATCAGAACCGTTTCCGGTGGCTGCTCAATACTTCTAGTTGTAAACAACGCGGACGCGTGCCGTGGCGACAGGCCAGTAACGTCTAAATTCACCCCAAAAGGGCCAACATACATACTTTGCATAAATATTCAAAAAAAGAAAAACGACCGCCCACGCGCGGACGTTGATACGCGGAATTGTATTCTGTCCAGTATTTTCATAGCTTTTTGCAGAGTGGCCCGGGAGGGTTGCTTTTGTTTTGCAATAATTCGTTGGGTCATAATTAGAAATATATATATTTATTTATTTATTTTTGCCTTCCGACAATTGCAGATGTACCTCAGAAAACTTTCACTTAATGTCTCATACTCTACATGAATATTAAACCAATAAGAAGTACAACAACATGTAGGACTTATTTCTACTGTCATTTACATCGTACAAGTATCTCCTCTTCAACTTACCAATGACAATCCTGATGGTATCCTGTATGCGTTCGTAAGCTTGCTAAAATACTACTGCGTTGATGTCCGCTTGTAAAAGCTGAAATCCAACAAATGCTTTGATCCATGCTACATCTCCGTGTTGGAAAAGCCCTTTCATCTCCGTTCATGATAACATCTTACCCTATTCTACGCAAATCTGTCACATCTACTCTCAAACAAGACGCCAACTTCAAACGAAAACGCGTTCTACGATGCGTCTACACTCCATCCCCATATCATTGGCGTTGACTGGTCCGAGGTCGATCTTGTTCGCCTGTTTTCGGCGTCTTGACGCCCGCGCAATGCGAGCTTGTACCTCTGCACTCGCCGAGATATGGCCACCTGTGTAGCCACCGAAACGATCTGAAGAAGTCGTTCCTTGAAGACTCCTTTCAGAGCCATCGTTCCTCCGTCCCTTCCTCCCACGGCATGTGTCGCAAGTTCATCGATGAACTCGTAACCCTCCTCTCCAAGGCGGCCAAAGCTTTCCACGGCTAAGGTGGTAAGTTTAAAGCTGCGTTCGTCAAAGGACACGTGTCCCGGACGAGCGTAGTGCTGACGCTTTCGCGCCTCGGATGCTTGGGCTGCGATTCCATCGCTGGTCGCGCTGCCGTTCCGCAAGTGTACCTGTGCTTGCGGGTCTGCGTGTGTGACATCGAGGAGTATTCCTTTGTTGCGGTACCCCGGAGAAGATGCGTTCGTGAGGGCTCCTGGCCTGATGACGATGTCCATGCTCAGGTTTCTTTCCCCCGTGAACGGTGTCCCGCTTTCAACGTCGTGTTTGACGCGAAGGCCGTTGAGTGCTCTCGATAGTGCGTATTTTAACGGCTCGTGCATGTTGACCTGTATATATACATATAGTCTATAGCTGTTTAGAGGGATCGTGATGTGCATACAGTCGAGGTCTCTGTTTAAGGCCGCTTATTTACGGCGGGTTGCCCCACCTTCGCACGACAGAAAAACACCTTCCGCACCCCTACCACGCAACCACATGTTCAAATACAGCACATACTGCTGTAGGATACATGTGGGCAGTAAGAATATATTAATATATTCATCTGTAGGTTGCTGTACGTATGTCACGTACGTGCGGAGTAATCGTAAGTGCGGAGTAATTGATACCGGTTGGATATGTAACGTAAAACATGATGAGAAGTTCGGAACATGCTTTCCAGCGAGGAGTCTAAGCGAAGGGTTTATGCGTACAGTACTACAGNAAGCGAAGGGTTTATGCGTACAGTACTATTTGTACAGTCAGTATTTATGCGAGGAAAAGTTCAGGAATAATTTGGGGTTGGCAAAGCGATGCCCACATCGCCCACTCCCAACTTCGCCCACCCTCTGATTCACAGCCCTGGCAGCAGCTGCGGTATGTTTGTGCGAAGCAACAAGTAAACACAGCAGTAAAGGGTATACCATGCCGTGTGCGGCTGGTGA